AAAAATAAAAACCATTAAAATGAAGCATGTACAGCTGTGACAAACAATGTGATTCCTCCAAGAGTCATTCTCATATAAGCTCCCATCTCCACCTTTACAGCAGGAAAAAAAGCTGTTTGTGGACAGCACGGGCAGTTTCCTGCTTTCACAGCAACACAACATATGTGACTTTATTGGCTTTAACAAGGACATTAAATCGGAGCTTTGGCATCTGGGACTGCTTATGCATTTACTTCAGTCGGTGGCATCTGTCACTCTTATTAGCACTCACTTAAATTGCTTATGTAGAATTTGAGAAAAGCTTATCTTGGCTCTTGCCCACGTCCTATCAACTCAAGTTATCTCACCCATAGGTGCTTCATGTCGTTAACTTGACAGAGCTCAAGACTCATCTTAAGACACTACTGCTTCTCTAACTCGAGGGTCATTCTTGACAACTGTACTCTTCCTGTTTGCGATTGTTTTGACTGAGACTGAAAACTCAGTTTTATTCATGAAATTCTAGTTGTCATAAACAGCACGTAGGATTAAATGCAGATCACTCACCGTGACTTGGAATGGACTGTTAGGGATGTCAGACTAGTGTCAGCTGTTTTCCCCATGTGTTTCCTCTCCCCCTAATCACCCTTGTGTGTATTTAGTCTGTGTGTTTCTGTTCATTTTTTGTCAGGTCGTCTGTTGTTCCACGTCATGTTACCATGTCTCCATGTTTCTAGGATTTTCCATGTTTAGGTTTTTTGCAGCGTTCAAGGTTTAGTTCTTTGCCCTGTGTGTTTAGCATTTAATTTTCCCAGTTTAATTCTATTTAGGTTCTTTCTTGTGTGCATCTGCCTTTTGTACTTTTTTTATCAGCCATATTAAACGGCTCGCGTTTTGTTAATTCAAGTTTTGTTCCACGTTCCATTTTGTCTGCATTTTGGGTCCTCTACATCACTCCATACAGTCTGCCTCTGCCAGACTGTGACATGCTGAGGTCTTCCTGGTCACTGGAGCTTTAATTGGAGCTGGCAGACGTACTGGTCCTGCTACAAGTGGAAGGAAACCACCTCGCTAAAGGAAAAACAAGACAACAATATGAGCATAGGTTTGGTTACAATAAAATAAGTCAGTTGATCAAAATCAGTGTGACACAGACGCTGATGTTTTTGAAAAGAGCCCATCAGTAACATTTAATTCATACATTTTTACTGTGAGGGTTTGTAAAATGTCTGTATGAATATTATTATGAATATTAATTCTACAACAGAAAACGACTCAGCATTTAAACCATCATGTATTAAATGTTTCCGAAGATACTAAAATTTGATAACGAGCAAAGTTATTTATCCTGAAATGTACTCATTGATAGAAACTTTGAAAGGCAGTGCAGAAAACAAAGTTAAGCAACACAGAAAAATGTGGTAGCGATTACTCTTTATAGCCTATTAGTTTTATTTTCAATGCGCTCTGAGGTCATAGCAAATTAGAACAAACAACCTAATGAGTGATTTTGTACATATACGTTATATTTATAGAGTTGCTAATTGTTTTTCATTATTGCAGCCAAACCAGCCTATGAAATAAAACAAATCCTGACTGGGTTCCAATGCTACACATGCAAAATCCCTGCTTCAAACTACATGCTACAAACCACCATGCCAATCAGATTACATCTTCCATGTGAGGGTGAAGAGGTGACCCTTCTGGATAAGATGGTGAAGGTTTGCTGCGTTTTGGTGAACATGTGCCCCAGTGTGGTAGTAAAACCAGGGGAAAATGCTCTTGTTAAATAGTCTTAAAAGTCTTGTGCTGTATATGTAGTGATAAGATTTCAAAAGAGAGTGTAAATTACAGAATGCTAGTAGTGGGTGATATTATTTAAATGCTGTCATGATTTTATGTGAACATTTTATCATTTGCAAACTATACATGACATTGATTCTACATTGTTACTGGTGTGATGTTCTACAAAGTGGTTTTAATTTTTTTTTTTTTTTAAAAAAGGCAAACATTTATTTATTTCTTTATTCAACTTTTGAACAATGGTACTTAGTAAGTACATATTCAGTAAATGCAAATTATTTAGATGGCAATGCACTTCAGGCACAAATGTAGACCCCCTAAATACAACATTATGGGTTATTCAGAACAGAACTATGCTTGGAGAAATATTTTCCCATCAGTTGAGACAACTCCTCCACAGTAGCAGGTGGAATTTCTTTGTATTTCTTTTGTTTTTCTTGTACGTTGGCTGTATCCCAATTCAGCCTTAAAGTACGCAGCCTTAACGGTCCACAAGG